GGCCTTCTCATCACTGGTATTCAGTGTGGGGACTGTACTGTAGCTCCAGCAGTTAGGAAAATAGATTCTTGCCTCTTAGTAGCAGCCATTGACTTAAGTCTCCTGAGTGACCTCCACTACCTTGGACATCTGACCCGTCTCTTGGGACAGCCAGACCTCTCTGTAACTAGCAATTAAAGGTACAGGAAGGATGCTCTGGAACCCTGAGGTGCTAGGGGGTGACATGCTGTGATTGGTTGGGGTCCATGGCGGGTTTATTAGAGTGGGTTTGAAGCCTGTTTCTCCACACAGTCAAAGAGTCAGAGTTTGAGGAGGGCACCTAGGGATGCTTTGCTGTGGTGTTCCCATTTTTCCTGTTACCTCAGAAGCCTCTGAGGTCTTATCATCAGGGCTTAAAGACTGTAGCATCGGGGTGTGAGGGCTCTCAGATATCATATACTTCAGGGGATTTTAACTCCAGGCATCTGGACTTTAGGGTGAATTCTCCTGTCTTTACCATGGCAATAGGACTCACTTCCTTCTCCATCTTATGTTTCTTCCTCCCTTGGCCATTGTGCTCCTGCCAGATAAGCTCTCTCTGCCCCAGGGCCTTTGCACTGACTTATTTTCCTCCTCTAGAGTGATTCACTCTGGGCAGTGCCTATGGCTCAGTGGGTAGGGCACCAGCCCCATATACAGAGGGTGGCAGGTTCAAGCCTGGCCCCAGCCAAACTGCAACAACAACAAAATAGCTGAGCATTCTGGCAGACACCTGTAGTCCCAGCTACTCAGGAGGCTGAGGCAAGAGAATCTCTTAAGCCCAAGAACTGGAGGTTGCTGTGAGCTGTGATGCCACGGTACCCTACCAAGGGTGACACAGTGAGACTCTCTCTTAAAAAAAATAGAATGATTTACTCCCACTATTTCCCCTAGTAAATCCTTCTCACCTTCTGATCACACAGATTGACCACTTATTTTTAAGCAACTTGCCCCTTCAGCCTGGCAACTCTCTGTCTCACAGTTCTGCTTGATTTCTTCAGAGCACTTCCCACTATATGACATTATCTGATTTTTTAAACTGTTTATTTACCTCTTTTCTAGAATATAAGCCCAAGAAGGGCATGGTATATGTCATACATTTTGGATTATCCTCATATCCCAAGGCCTAGGATGGGCTCTGGGAGACAGTTGCAACTAAGCCCCTCACTCAAATGACAATTTTGTGCTACTTAGAAAAAAAAAAGCCCTCTCTTGATATGATTTGACATTTTTGGCTGGAGGTTTTTCATAATCATTGTACCAACTTCCCCTGGCTGTGACTTGTGCACACAGCACGCCTCCACCTCCACCCTCACCGATAAGTACATGCTGGCTGCGTGAACGGTGGAGGGACAGGAGTGTCTGAGAACAAGTGTGAACTTATGTGATGCATGTACACTTTTCCCAGTCGACTGGACTGTCCATTGATTTCAGTGTTGGGCACATAGTCCCCTTTCTCATTCATCACCAACAGAGATTTGTCCGGCACCCACTCATCATGTCAGCTTGGGGCATTCACATCTGAATGAGACACAAGTTCTCCATTTAAGAAGCTGGGAGTTTAGAGGCCGAGGTGGCCCTGTGAATGGATGGGACAATGCAGTGTCATCATGGCTGTAGTACAAGCCCAGCCAGGTGCTCATGGAGTACAGGGCACCTGCACAGTCTGGAATAGTCAAGAAGTCTGTCTGGGGAGGTGGGTGAGCTAGACCCCAAAGGAGGGAAAGTTCCGCATGTTGTTCATTGCGCTTTATACTTCGGGGCCCCGAGCCACCTGGCCCTGTCTCCAAGCAGTGTCATAGCAGAAAGGTAATTTCCAAACTCAGTCTTTACTCGCAATTCTTAAGTTCCAAGAGGGCAACAGGAAGTGGCCCCTAACACTGCCCTTGCTCTCCTATCCACCTTCCTCCAGACCCAGTTCCTTCACCTCTTCATACCATTTCCTGGAAAACTCCACCCTGGGCTTGCAGTTCCTTTCTCCACTTCACTCTGCTCCTTATTGTGACAACAAACACAACTTCTTCCTTCTGGGACCATTCCTGCCTTCCCCAGATCCCCATGTTCAATAATGTATCCACTCTGTGACTGTCCGTCACAAAATCAGGCTTGTCCTTGGAGAGCAGCTGGGGCAAAGAACTGCACAGGTGCAGTCTGAGGAGGAAGAGAGGCCAGAACACTCATGCATTTGTTATTTTGGCCTCATCACGCTTACTTTTTGAATTACTGTTATTAACTCATTTTCCAGATGAGCTTACAGAGATCGAATAACCTGCCCAAGATCCCAAAGCTAGTAAGTTCCTGTTCTCCCGCCTGTTGTATTATCCTTCCCCTGTCTTCCCATTTACCCACTTAATTGTGATCTTAGCCAGAAAAGAAATTTCCCCAGGAAAGCCTCCCCCAAACATCTTGTGTTGGCCAACCCCACCCATTGTACACTGGCGTAAGGCTGAGTACTTTGCTGTCACAGCATTTGTCACAGTTGTGATTGTGTGTATATATATACATATATACACATCTATATATATATAGATGATCAGAGGGCTGATGTCTATGTCTAACATGAAGCTGCAAGTTCATAGAGGGAAGGGATGAGTGCACGTGCACACACAGAATGCAGTGAACAATTGGAATTCAGATCCTTGCCTCAAAAATCCAGATTCTTTTCTGACTATGAAATGGTCAGAATTATGAATTGGTGTTCTCTAAAGGTGGAGAATGTGATGAACGCTATCCCAGGTTGAGGAATTACCATGCAACCCATTTGGGGAATTACCAGGAGTGTTCTTTTCTGGCGGCTGTGGTGCTGGCTGGAATCCAGGCTAGAGGTGGAGACCTGGCAGGAGCAGCAGGGGCTATGGGCAAAGTCGAAGGTCAGAAGAATAGAAGACCTGTGTGCTGGCCAAGAATCAGGGCTCACAGAGAGCTACCGAGGTTTTTTCAGCTATGGCATGATAATAGTTGCATTTAAGAGAGATCATTCTGCCTGTAGTTCAGGTAGGGAGGCAGAAGACCAGGGCAGAGCCTGCTAGCTAGGATGGTGCCACCATAATACAGGTTGGAGAAGACAGTCATGGGCAGGGATGTCTGCTCCTAGGAGAAAAGGAGAGATAAGAGGTATTTCTTGGGGCAGCACCTGTGGCTCAAAGATGGAGGGTTCAAACCCAGCCCCTGGCCAAAAAAACGAAAAAGAGGTATTTCACTCCTGTTTCAGGTTAGGCACCAGACATATGGTCTTGCCATCTCCAGCAGCAAAAAGCACTGAAGGGGGAGGGGCTGTTTAAGTCTAGGCAGCCAAGTCTGAGAAGCTGGGATGCTTGCAGATGTTGGTCCAGCATCCAGGTGGGGCCATGGTGAAGGGTGCAGGGCACAGAGACTACGGAGGGCATGAGAAAGTTGGGTCCCTTTTTCTAGACCTCACCAGCAGCAGATGTCTGGGCTAGTGGGCTGCAGCTGGGGAGCCCATCTGTCCCCCCAGCTGCTCTACCAGCTGCTTTGAGCTGAACTTAAGCCCTCCAGATGTGGCAGGAAGTCAGGAATGGTGTTCTGGATCTCCACTGTTTTCCATCACTCTTTTTCTTTTTATAATTTTTCCATTTTGGGGGCGGCGCCTGTGGCTCAGTGGGTAGGGCGCTGGCCCCATATACCAAGGGTGGTGGTTCGAACCCGACCCCGGCCAAACTGCAACAAAAAGTTCTGGTGGGCGCCTATAGTCCCAGTTACTCTGGAGGCTGAGGCAAGAGAAGCGCCTAAGCCCAGGAGTTGGAGGTTGCTGTGAGCTGTGACACCACAGCACTCTACCGAGGGCAATAAAGTGAGACTCTGTCTCTAAAAACAAAAACAAAAAATAAAAAATTCCAATTTGGGCTTTGGGCCACCTATTCAAGCCTCTGTTTCCTTTTCTGTTGAACACTGAGATATTTATCCGCCCTCCAAAGGTTAAAAAAGAGACCGTGAGATGCCCTGCCAGGAGGAGGTTGCGACTCTTGGGGGTCCTCTCCCTCCGCCTTGTCTTTTGGGTTCATCCAAAATTATTCCCCAAAGAAAAACGATCCAAGAATAGGGGCTTGTGGTGGGGAAAGGGACAGTCTTCTAGAAGGTCAGGTGACTCCCCGGTGTCGGGATGGATGTTGAGGGAGGGGCTTGAGATAAAGGGGAGACACGGTGTACTGCGGGCACCTTCCCAGATGGCTTCCCAGAGTCCCAACAAAGTGACGAGGGCGTGCAGGTCTCACAGCCCAGGGATAAAGTCCGGACGGGGACTCCAGTCTTTGCGGAACTGGAGGCCGCCGTCTTTTTTCCAAGCGCTCTTTCCCTGGTTGGAAGCCGAAGTTCTTTCCCATCCCTCCCCGCCTCTTGGTTACCCAAATGTGGCCAGGTCTGTGGCTCCAGGGCTTGGCCAAGCACCTTGTCCTCTTCCAGGGACGGATTTTTCTGGTCTGGGGGTAGGGTCTGGCCCTAGGACGCCTCTCGGACCTGGAGGTTGGTCACAGGACTCCAGCGAGCTCAGGCGCCCAGGCGCGGGCGGGGCGGCTGCTCCAGCGAGAAAGTAGAGCGCGGAGGCGCGAGGGTGGGACACGGGACCCAGCAGCGACCGACAGCGGCAGAGCGGCAGTGCTCGCCTGGCGCCCGCGACTCCTTAACCCTGCCCCTCAGGGCCGCTTGCTCTTCCTTTCTCTGTCTGCGAACCAGACACAGCTGCCGCCTGGCACGCAGCCGGTTCCCGGATAGTCTTGGCCGCCTGTGGGCACCACTAGCTGACTCCCACCGCCGGCACCGGGACTCGAGGGATACTACGCAGCCACTGACCAGGAGCACTTGAGACCGCCAGAAGACTTAATCAGGGGACCCGCGAAGCCCAAGGTGAGAACCCTGTCCCTAGGGCTTGAGGGTCCCTTGGCTAAGAGTGTGCAACCCCGGGCGCCCAATGGGGCCGCCCCGGGGGCGCAAGGCTAAAGTTGGGACAGCGTGCGGCCCAACCCTGCGGCCAAGCGCGACATGCTACCTCCAGGGCGCAACGGCACCGAATCCCCTGTGCAGTTGGGGCTGCAGCATCGGCTGGCACAGGGGGACCCCATGGGGCTCTCGGCTGGGACGCCGCCGCTGGGGCCAGTACAGGTGGTCACCGCCAGCCTCCTGACCCTGCTCATTATTTGGACCCTGCTGGGCAACGTGCTGGTGTGTGCGGCCGTCGTGCATAGCCGCCACTTGCGCGCCAAGATGACCAATGTCTTCATAGTGTCTCTGGCTGTGTCCGACCTCTTCGTGGCGCTGCTGGTCATGCCTTGGAAGGCAGTTGCCGAGGTGGCCGGTTACTGGCCCTTCGGGGCATTCTGCAACGTTTGGGTGGCTTTCGACATCATGTGCTCCACCGCCTCCATCCTGAACCTGTGCGTCATCAGTGTGGACCGCTACTGGGCCATCTCCACGCCCTTCCTCTACGAGCGCAGAATGACCCAGCGTGTGGCCTTCGTCATGGTTGGCCTGGCTTGGACCCTGTCCGTCCTCGTCTCCTTCATTCCGGTCCAGCTCAACTGGCACAGGAACAAGGCAGGCTCCTGGGTTGGGGTGGACCTGCCATCCAGCCTGGACAACGGGACGCCCTGGGAGGAAGCCGGGGCCCTGGAGGTGAGTGCCGAGAACTGTGACTCCAGCCTGAACCGAGCTTTTGCCATCTCCTCCTCGCTCATAAGCTTCTACATCCCGGTGGCCATCATGATCGTGACCTACACGCGCATCTACCGCATTGCCCAGGTGCAGATCCGGAGGATTTCGGCGCTGGAGAGGGCGGTGGGGTATGCGCAGAGCTGTCGGAGCTGCACAACCTGCGCACGCGACACCAGCCTGCGAGCTTCCATCAGAAAGGAGACCAAAGTCCTCAAGACCCTGGCGGTGATCATGGGGGTCTTCGTGTGCTGCTGGCTGCCCTTCTTCGTCCTTAACTGCACGGTGCCTTTCTGCAGTGGACACCCCGAGGGCCTGAGGTCTGGCTTCCCGTGCGTCAGCGAGACCACCTTCGATGTCTTCGTCTGGTTCGGCTGGGCTAACTCCTCGCTCAACCCCATCATCTACGCCTTCAACGCTGACTTCCGGAAGGTGTTGGCCCAGCTGCTGGGCTGCAGCCGCCTCTGCTCCCGCACCCCGGTGGAGACGGTGAACATCAGCAACCAGCTCGTCTCCTGCAACCCAGACACTGTCTTCCACAGGGAGCCTGCAGCTTCCTGTGTGCCTGTGATCCCCAACGCTGTGGCCCTCACGGTCGGGGAGAGGGACGACGAAGAAGAGGAGGGCTCGCTGGGTCATATGTGCCAGATGACTCAGACGTCCTCAGGTGGTGACCCTGCAGCTGAGTCTGCCTGGGAGCTGGACTGCAAGGGGGACATTTCACTGGACAAAATAACGCCGTTCACCCCAAATGGAGTCCATTAAACTGCACAGGAAATGCCCTCGCAGGTCTACACAACTGCACAGACGCTTACAAGCACTCACTCATACACACAAATACGCACACTTCCCGGGCTGCTGTTGATGGCCTGTTTCTGTGTCCATGCGTAGCTCTTGTGCTTAGAAATCTGCTTTAAACTCAGTCAAACACATCCCAGCTTCACAGCACTGGACCAATGGTCCAATTAGGGAAGAGGGAGTGGTGCTTGGCCCTTTTAAAAAAAAAGTGATACTTTAAAAAATATACTTTAGGGCGGTGCCTGTGGCTCAAAAGAGTAGGGCACTGGCCCCATATGTCAGAGGTGGTGGGTTCAAACCCAGCCCTGGGAAAAAAAAAAGAAAAAGAAAAATATACTTTAAATACACCCGCCCCTCTCCTCTTAAGCAACAGCTTGCTCAGTGGCCTATTCGTGTTTGGGGTGATTTTTAATGGACAGGTTCAGTGTGCCTGGGGGTGATGGGCTGGGCTGTCCTCTGTGTCTTGCTCCCCCGGGTCTCTGTGCCTGGGCAGTTTCTTCTTTTTGTGCTGGTGACTGTCTTGGCCATAGCTGAAGAAGTCTTCTGGGTTCTGGTGTCTAATAGACAGAAATTGTGTGTATTGGGTGGTGATTGTCTTGATACTAGATAAACCACAAGTGTGTGTGTGTCCTTAAAATGCAGGGAAGGTGTGTGCTGGGTCTGAACCCCTGTGTGTGGTTTATGTACAGATAGTTAATGGCCTTATAAGTACGCATAGGGAAAAGGACCTTAAGGAGCTTCCAGTTCCTCAGGTCTCTTCTCTGTGCTGAAAGCTTCACTGCTGTGGCGTCAGACACAGAGCTTGCAAGTCCAGAATTATTATTTTTTTCTCGTTTGGAATCTTCTTTAAATAATGTAAGACAACTTTTCTGATTCCTAGACAGATGCTATCAGTTTATTGAAAAGATAAAGAATAATAGCTTGATTTTTCTCTATCTGAAATCTATAGTATGTTTTAGAATGAAATGGCTTTTGAGAAACCATTTCTCAATGGTTCTGAAATGCATGAGTCAATATGCTTTTAAAAAGAAATCATATTTTTAAATAGGCACTTTCATTTGTGGACAGTAGCAAATGGAGACAGGCTTTTTACCTAAAATGTAGATGCCAGGGATGAAATTGAGTTTGGATATGAATGAAATTGAAATTGGAAAATCTGTAGGTTGAAGTTCACAACAAAAAAGCCCAGCTAATTCCAGCCTTTTTATTTTACATCTGTGCAATGTGCTCAGGGAAGGAGCGTCTTATTCTGAGCCATTTCAGAGAGCATATTATTACCATTAACCCAAATATGAGAGCTGTTAATGGGAGCAAATGAAATGCAATGTGTAATTTCTTACAAGTCCTTGCTTTGACGCAGTTTTATTGAGGACAATCAATTTTGGTCACTTTGAGGGTAATTTTATTGCCAGTCTTCTGTACAACCATATCTTGTTCACTGCAAAATGTGCAGTGCCTGGCATATAACAATAAAAATTTGTTGAATGAATGACTACTTCTGAAACAGTGATATTAAAAGCAAATCCTATTTGGTACATCAATTTTTATATATAATGTAGTCTAATTGATACTGGAATCTGAGGTCTGAGGTCTGTGTTCAGTTTTTGACCTCTCATGAATCACTAGGTCAGTGAACCCTTAGGCAGCATACTGGTTTGGGATTCTGGAGATGGCTGTGTGACCTTGAGTGAGTCAATTGATCTCTCTGGGCCTCACTTTCCATCTGCATCTGTAAATTGAAAGATTTATACTAGATCACTGCTTGCCAAATTGTGCTTTGTGATGCAGATGTTAATACATGAGGTCTACGGTGACATAAATTCAGGAAACCCGGGTTCAATACCGATTTCTCTACAGGACTTCTTAGAGCTTTTCCTGTGCATTGTGAATCTCCAAAGTGGGGGACAATTCTGCATCACCTGCCAATGTCTTTGACCTTGCAAATCCTTGTTTGGCAGAATTCCTATTACTACACTCTGGAGTCCACAATTACAGGGAACATCGTTTGAGAAAGTCAAATTTAACTGATCTGGACATGGTTGAAACACCACCTATAGCTATTTTATTCTTTAGACAGCTTGTGACAAGCAAAGTCTTTTGTAGCAAATGCTATTCTAGGTCCCTGTTTATGTACGTTCTGTATTGTGAAAGTGAATTCTTTGAAATTCCCTCCTGTAAAATATTGCTCACAATTCCTTATAATTATGTGCACCTACTAAGTACCAGTCAATGTCCTAGACACTGACAGTGTAGTCATCCATCACCTTCTCTGCTGCCTTGGAACTCACATGTTGGCAGGGTGGGACAGGCCAATGACATTCCTGCACTCTACTGTCCTGCATTGTCATGACATGAGAGAGAACGTCAGGCAGTGCAAGTCCCGTGACACAAGCAGAAACTAGGGAGCAGCATGGTGAAGCTGCTAGTTGTTTTTTTTTCTTTTTTTTTTTTTTGAGCCGGTCTTTTGGTATTGCTTAGGCTAGAGTGCCATGACGTCAACATAGCTCACAGCAACATCAAATTCCTGCGCTCAGGTGATCTTCCTGCCTCAGCCTCCCAGAGTGCTACGATTACAGGCATGAGCCACCAAGCCTGGAGCTGCTATTTAATTTAAGGCACTCAGGGAAGGCTCCTTCGAAAAGGCACATTGAAGAGAGACGTGGATGAAGTAAGCATTGGAGTGATGCTAACGTCTAGGAGGAAGCGTGATCCAGCCGGGGGAGGGCATGGTCAAAGGCCCAGAAATGAGACTGTGCTTGGCACACTTGGAGAAGTACAGCTGGCAGCCTAGGAAAGAGCCATGTGATGGGGTTAATGTTGATGGCAGTGCTAGCCATCACTTCAGGCTCTGCAGAGCCCTAGCCTACTCTGGGTATGATGCATGCGCTAATGCGTTTGACACTCACCACCTCTTACTACTCTCCTCTTATAGATGAGGAAATGAAAGCATTAGCAAGTTGGAGAACTAGCCAGTGGTCACACAGCTCATGTGAAGCAGATCTCCGCTTAAACCCAGTCAGCCTGTTCACGGGGTCTCTCGATGGTGAGAGGCTGCCAGGACATCCCCAATCCATAAGTGCACCAATGCACAGATCAGGGCGTCTGGGTCTTTGTTCATTTGTTAACTACACAGTTAATTGACCCCCAGCCCTGTGTCTATATGTCAATAGACTCTCGTGTGCATCTGCTCTGTGAATAGCTTTGTGTTTGAGGGGACCACAGGGTAGTGGACAAGGTAACGTCCATGTGGATGGGCCAACGGCTTTCTTGGATTCTTATCTGATCCTCACATTAAGTTCACATATTATTATTTGCCCAGTTTTTAGATGAGGACATGGAAGCACAGAGGACCTCGAGGACAGGGTTAAGTTTCTTGTCCAAGGTCACGTGACAAGGAAGTGGCGGAACTAGGGTTCACATCTAGGATGGCAGTTCTCAATTGGGGGCAACTTTACACTCTGTGGCCCTATCCTGTCCTCCAGGAACATTGAGTGATGTCTGGAGATTTTAGTTGTTAGAGGAGGGTATGGGTGTTCTTGCCATCTGTGAGAGGAGGCAAAGGATGCTGTGAAACATTCTGGGGTGCACAGGACAAGCCCGCCACAAAGAATTACCTGGCCCCAAATGCTTGTATGGTGGTGCTTGAGAGGCCCTAACCAAGGCTGATGGACTTCAGGTCCAAGCTGCCTGCCTGTAAAGCCATCCTGCTCGAGACTTGATTTTAGCCTCACCATTGTCTGAATTTGGGCACCACAAATTCTCTGACCTTCAGCTTCATTATCTGAGCAATGGGTACGTTAGTCCCCCAGGCTGTCAACAGCACAGGGTTTATATTTGCATCATTCCTTTTCATTTAGAGAAGTCTAGGGCTTGATGTGTTCTAAGAGGCTTTGAGGCTCCCACATTGCTGCAGCCGGGAGGGGCCGTGAGTGCTGAGACTTGGTCTGTCTCGCTCAACACTGTTCTCAGGCTAGAACAAGATCTGGCAAAGAGTAGGTGCTCAATAAATGCTAATTTTCTCTCTCCACCTTGGCCTCTCTCTCTCACACACACAGAGACTCAGGTGCTGTAACTGAAGGAATCACTCAGCAGTCTGTGCAGCGAGTGCCGGGGCGTGTCAGCCTGTCAGTGGGTGGTGTTCCTTGCACCTTGCCTTGGGACTGGAACTGGTCTGGGACCTGATCAGTCCTGCAGAACCAAAAGCCCCACAGAAGTGCTGCCGTTCTGTAACACATATGAATGCTGCTTCACAACAAGCCAAAGGCCTCTCTGTCATTCACAGACACCCAGGGGCTCATTCTTGCCTGACAGATGGCACGTTGAGGTAGGCAGGGGTCCAGAGATGCCTCTGTGTCACCCAGCCAGAGAGAACCAAATGGAATTTGAAGGTGGCCTTGACTCTTGTGCTGCCATCACCACCTTTCCACCTGCCTCACCTTCCTGTGGTCCTGGCTCTTTGTGACAACAAGAACAACCTGTCTGTCCCCATTCTGGGGAGATTCCGTGGCCAGTTAATAAGATAGGACATGGCAACTGAACAAATGCCTGGTGTCCCTAGGGAACAGCAGGGGCTCCACAGGAATTTCCACCTCCAAGAGGGCCCCCCATGTGGCCGCTCTGGCCTGGTAGCCGTGAGGTCTCTCCACGTCGTCTTGCGCAGCAGCTTGGGGCTCCAGAGCACACGGCCCAGAGCTTTATTGTTCTGAGAGATGCTGAATCTCTCCTTATAACCAAGCCCCCATGAACTCATCCGTTAAATGTGAGTCAATAAGGCCAGACCATCTTCAGGGGAGGGGAATCGATATCACTTCTTGATGGGAAGAGTGTCAAAGAATTTATACAAGATGTTTTACATTTTATATTTTATTTTTAAAAAATATTCTGACATTGGGCAGCACCTGTGGCTCAAAAGGGTAGGGTGCCGGCCCCATATGCCAGAGGTGTCAGGTTCAAACCCAGCTCCGCCC